CTGTTTGTGTGTACAGTAGATAGATAGATGATGATAGATTATTCATTAAATCAGCAAGGATTATTTAAATTGTTCAAAGGTGATGGTAAAGAATATAATGTCACAAATATAATGTTATATTTAATTTCTTTTTTAAATAAATACACTTTTGGGAAGGATTGAGAAGTGAAATCTTTAACAGAATTATGTTTTTTTATTTATGTCTACTGAAATATTTATCATTGCTTAACAACATTATGTTATATGGGAGGTATGTCTTTAAAGATTTAATTAATTATTGTTCAGAAATAAATTCTCTGCGGAGAAAATTAATTGGATTTTTACTTCCACAACTCTACTATGCTCTTTTAACTTGGACCAGTGAGCAATCACCCAGATCACCCTAGCAACTAAACAGAACACCTTAGCAACCATCAACAACAACCTAGCAGCACAGTGGTGAGTTTTTCGTGGACAAGCACTATTCACATTTTCAGAAAGCACAACAAAATTATTTTGTTAAAAAACTGTTGGGTTCTCAAATTCGCTGTAGAGTTTCTGCCCTCCAGATGCCACTGATGATGATCCTGCACTTTCAGCAGTAACTAGACTCTTGCAATACCAGCCTATTACCACACACACATGTGTTAGAAGTGATGGGTTGCTAGGCTCTTCTACCAAGGGCTTTGACAGCTTTTATACCATTCTGAATGTGTCGTCAGACACCCTTCGCAAGAATCGCAACCCTCTGGCATAACTCCCAATGTCATTTCCAGGCATAGTTCAGCAATGGTCATTGTCTCTCTGTGACCTATTATTCTGTCAGCTGAGATGCCTTCGCAGTGTGCTTTCTTTTATAGTTGTTTTGCATTCTTTCTGTTCAACCCAAAACATAAAATGGATTAGTAGACATTTTTACAATATCTAAGCAATAAAATAATGACAGATTTAAGCAAGCAAGTAACAAATATAATAAATAATTGGATGCAACCTATTTCCTATTTGTTTCGTTTTCTCAGAAAAGGCATTTATTTCCACACTCAGTCACTCAATATAAACTGTCAGATATGGCAATAATGTAAGGACCACTCTACTCGCCCAACCATGGTATCCAACAGTGGCTGAAGGTTTGAAGTGAGTAAAGTAATTACATTTCAGTTAAAATCTTTCAACTTTGTTTTATTACAACTCAGATTTTGAGTTGCAATGGCAGCTGATCATTGGTCATTTATACTTATTACACTTATAATAATTTTCTAGACATTTGATTATCCTAATGCTCTCTTTACTTTTGATTGTACTAGCTCATTCCGATTCCAATGTCACTCAGAGTCTCATGCTGGCCGTGTATGTGTATCTCATGGTCACAAACTCACCAGGATTGATCATTAGACAGTGGTAATTGAGTAATGCTATTTAGATGACCAGCCACGCTTGCTCTTCTATAGAAGTACTTTATTTAGTCCCTATCGATCTGTATACACTTGAATCAAAGCAATACTTCCCTAGTCAGAGTTCATGGCCACTACTATAGATATACCAACATTTCTCTAATAGTAGCTTTGGTCATGCCATGGTTTCCCATGTACACTTAGCTAGAGTAATATTAGTGAATTACAACCTATTTTGGTTGGTTGAGCAACATTCTGTCCTACATGGAAAATCCCTTTTTTTCTCACTATATTACATGGAAATAAAATCTCAGTTGCTGGACTTTAGTTCGTTACTATCCTGGGGTGCATTTCACGTGCTTTTCCTTGCTGCTTAACTCATGACTGTTTCCTAAAGCGCATCTCTGTCATTTGAACCACGCTGATTAGACAATATTGGATGGACGTTAATGATGTGCAAGATGGTGGAGTAATAGTAGCTTCTACTTATTCATTGATTCAAGTTCTCTGAGATGCTGCTGTAACAAAAAGTGCAGCTGATGACTACTTCGATTGATGTTTGATTCATCACGGTTTCCCTCATCATACTCTGGGGTTCCCCTAGGCATTTATGCAAACGTGCCGTCTTCAAAAACAGTGCCTATTGAGGACATGCTAAAATTAGATTGAAATGGATATATATTTAAATGGAATGGAAGACATAGATTGTACTGCATGTTAGCTTGCTTACTGTGTCCAAGAGCACAATCTATTTAAATCCACGCCTTACCAATAAGAAGCTATGCTTCTGACCACAGGTCGAGAGCTGTAGTTTCAACCACGTAAGTTTGCAGTGCTGTTTGCCAATGTTCGTTTGAACTATGGTTTCAGGAAACACAGAATCTTTGAACAAAGTTGGTAACAATATGGGCTCATCTGCAAAATCACCCCAAAGCTTTTGTAATTTTTCCTTAAGTACCCAGACCAAGAAAAAACACCCTCCAAGTGGAGGCAGCAACTAATAATTGGAATTTGCATTAATCAAAGCCTAGACCCGGGTAGTTTACCTTTTTGGAGACAGAGGGTGATTTGCATAAAAGACACTGGGAAAGGGCCCACCCTCTAAAGTAAGTAAAATATCTCTAAATTCTTTCTTTATTATCTAATCTTTATTACCTTTTAGTTGACTTCTTGAGGGAATGAGACCATGTAACAGTCACATTGAGACAATTCAAATGACACCAAACATGTCTGTAAATTCATTTGCATTGACATAGAACTTAGAACTATTTTGCAGAATAACCATTTTGGGTGAACTGATTGAAGGGAAGGATGAGTAAAGGAAAGGACGTTGGGGAGAAGGAACAAATGTGAAGGAAGGACAACAGAGAAAGCAGCTTTCCCGCATCTTCACTCTAAAAAATGCTGGGTTAAATATAACCCAGCGCTGGGTTAAAAAGGGACAAACCCAGCTATTGGGTTGTTTTGACCCAGCATTTGGGTTGTTTTGACCCAGTAGTTGGGTTGTTTTGACCCAGCAGTTGGGTTGTTTTGACCCAGTAGTTGGGTTGTTTTGACCCAATAGTTGGGTTGTTTTGACCCAATAGCTGGGTTTGTCGAGCTGGGTTTGTTTGTGTGTGTGTGTGTGTGTGTGTGTGTGTGTGTGTGTGTGTGTTCGCTTGACCCAGTAGTTGGGTTGTTTTGACCCAGTAGTTGGGTTGTTTTGACCCAGCAGTTGGGTTGTTTTGACCCAGTAGTTGGGTTGTTTTGACCCAGCAGTTGGGTTGTTTTGACCCAGTAGTTGGGTTGTTTTGACCCAGCAGTTGGGTTGTTTTGACCCAGTAGTTGGGTTGTTTTGACCCAGTAGTTGGGTTGTTTTGACCCAGCAGTTGGGTTGTTTTGACCCAGTAGTTGGGTTGTTTTGACCCAGCAGTTGGGTTGTTTTGACCCAGTAGTTGGGTTGTTTTGACCCAGCAGTTGGGTTGTTTTGACCCAGTAGTTGGGTTGTTTTGACCCAGTAGTTGGGTTGTTTTGACCCAGCAGTTGGGTTGTTTTGACCCAGTAGTTGGGTTGTTTTGACCCAGCAGTTGGGTTGTTTTGACCCAGTAGTTGGGTTGTTTTGACCCAGCAGTTGGGTTGTTTTGACCCAGTAGTTGGGTTGTTTTGACCCAGTAGTTGGGTTGTTTTGACCCAGCAGTTGGGTTGTTTTGACCCAGTAGTTGGGTTGTTTTGACCCAGCAGTTGGGTTGTTTTGACCCAGTAGTTGGGTTGTTTTGACCCAGCAGTTGGGTTGTTTTGACCCAGTAGTTGGGTTGTTTTGACCCAGTAGTTGGGTTGTTTTGACCCAGCAGTTGGGTTGTTTTGACCCAGTAGTTGGGTTGTTTTGACCCAGTAGTTGGGTTGTTTTGACCCAGCAGTTGGGTTGTTTTGACCCAGTAGTTGGGTTGTTTTGACCCAGTAGTTGGGTTGTTTTGACCCAGCAGTTGGGTTGTTTTGACCCAGTAGTTGGGTTGTTTTGACCCAGCAGTTGGGTTGTTTTGACCCAGTAGTTGGGTTGTTTTGACCCAGCAGTTGGGTTGTTTTGACCCAGTAGTTGGGTTGTTTTGACCCAATAGTTGGGTTGTTTTGACCCAATAGCTGGGTTTGTCGAGCTGGGTTTGTTTGTGTGTGTGTGTGTGTGTGTGTGTGTGTGTGTGTGTGTGTGTGTGTGTGTGTGTGTGTGTGTGTGTGTTCGCTCGTTTTTGTGACAAATGAGGACATAAATTTGGGTGTGGAGGCAGATGCCTCTGTGTGTGTGTGTGTGTGTGTGTGTGTGTGTGTGTGTTGTGTGTGTGAGAGAGAGAGAGCTTTTCCCTGATATGAAAAGACATAGAAAATGGTTTTCAGTATTTATTTTGTATTGAAGTGAAATTGTCTTTCTCATATGGTTCAGTTCCCTTTGCTTTCTCACTGATGCAGGCAGCTCAATGACCTTCACTTCAAAGCATCAATTTTGACCTGTTCTCCACGAATCCTTTCTTCCTCATCAATCTTTTCATCTCTGTTCAATGTTGTTTTCCATTAGCTCTTGCATTGACTGCAATATATACTTCTCAATGGTTTTCTGCATCTCTCTTTTAAACTCCGACATCCTTTTGCCTTTTTGTTTTTGTGTTTTTTCTGTAACTAATTTCTTCATTCAGTGGAGATCCACTAAATCAGTCCGGCTTGTGTTTTAGAGCTTGTCATGTTACACTGTCTAGATCAGCTTGGTTCTGCTTCAGGAACCAGATTTTGGACAATAAATGACAAAAGATATGGGATGCATTTTCTCTCCGTTTATTTTGCACTCTTCGTCTCTCACGATCTGTCCTCTGCTACTCTTTTTTTTTTTTTTTTTTTTTGCAAAGTTATTCAGTCTGGTCCACTTTGTAGCTTATTCTCATTACGATCCACCCACTTAGACAGGAAGAAACTGTCAGATGATTCTATAAAATGACACATTTGTTTCGTTTTGACGTGCCATTTATGAGCAGATTTAAACAATATATAAGAGTATGATTTTGAATGCAGAACATCAGTTGTTTTCAATTTGCAGACTAACTATTAGTTTATGGCGTGGTATTTTATTCACGTGATCACCATGTTGTCTTTCTGTGTCCAACTGTATAGTTTGGAGGTGGAGAATGGCCCCCCAATCGGCTGCAGTCCACTGGACCAGCAGGCGTCACCGAGCTCCGGTTTGGTCCTTCATCCCAACATAGCCAGTCAACGGCGGGAGTCTTTCCTGTACCGCTCGGACAGCGACTACGACCTCTCGCCCAAATCCACCTCTCGCAACTCCTCCCTTGTTGGAGAACAGCTGTGAGTAAGAAAATTTTTACACCTTAACCGGCATTATAAAGACCAAAAGTGCTCAGTCCTGTTGCAAATCACAGTTTGTTGAAAATAGTTAGCCAAAGGTGATGTACTTTTTCAAGTGGATTGTGCATGTGTATCCATGCATGCTTTTCATTGAATTTTACCCACAACCCCTATGGAATCGGAGGAGCTTGTGATTGTAACTTTTTCAATTTAGAAATTGGTGGGAAATACTACGGCAAAATTAACAAATTTATAAATAGTCATTGATTTTTCACACATTTATTTGCATTAGTTTTTTGTTTAGTTAGATATTTACTTACATATTCGTTTACTTATTTGAGCTTTTATTTGTTTTATATTTATTTTATTTTAATATTTATTTGTATTTATTATTAGTTTATTACTTTTTAGTTTATTTTTTACATTTTTATGTTTTATTTATTCATGAGGGAAGCCCACTAAACAAATCTGTAGGCATCCGTTAATAAGTACATGAGGATGAAATGAAAATCTTTTGTGAAAAAATAATTTATTAATAATTTCTTGTCTTAGCAGGGCATTTAACCCATTGAAATTTGTATTTATTAATTAATTTATTTTTAATTTAAGCAGATTCGCAGTGATGGGATAGGATGGTTTTTTTTCAGGTTTTAGGACATCTGAGAGAACACTTTGAGCACAAGAAAGGTTCTAAAACTTTATCTGCTGTTTTCTGCTGTTAACTTACAGTGTGCTTTACATATAATTTGATCTCATAGAACATCGTTTTCATAGATCTCACTTCTTTGCCTCCTCTGAAAAAATAGTTTCACAGTCTAACATAACTTCCAGCAGAGTTTAGCTCAATCAGTACACACCTGAATCAGTAAATCAAGGTCTTCAATTTCACCATTAAACTAGATCTCCACAAATAGGACTGAGCACTTCTGCAATAAATCATTCAACTCTTAGCAGCTGCAGTACAAACAGGACAGAAACTACAGAAGCAATGCAATTTTGAATTATTCTAGCATGGACAATACAGCACACAGGGTTTTGCATTATGTATGAGTTTTGTGTTGTTGTTTTTCTTTTTTGGTTCTAAGACACAGTGAAGACCTGATAGTCACTCCTTTTGCTCAGGTATGTTTGGCTCTTGCTTTCTGGATTGAAAAACTGAGACCAAAATGTGAAAGATTTTACATGTGCTGACTGTTTCAAAGTCCTTTCACATCTTGTTGCTGTCTTTTTGTTCAATAGGTGCTTGCAAGTCTTCGCACTATTAGGAATAATTTCAGCATCCTGACAAATGTCCAGTGCCCCTCCAGCAAGTACGTGACATTTACATTTGTTTCATAAAATGTAATGTGAGAAAATACCACAAGAGGGCAGAACTCACTTAATATCATTTTTTGTCAGAGTAGATGGATACCACACTAACCTACTGTACTGACCTTCGTCCTTATAATGATAATGGTAAATGTCTATTGATTTAAATTTTTTTTATTACTATTTGCTTGGTCGTTGTAACAAAATGTACAGACACTTTGACTTTATTAAAAACAAATTCGGTAAAAAAGTTACTCTTAAGGGGCCGTTTCCTTAACAGAGATTAAGCCTAATCCTAAACTAAAATGGCCCTTTGAACCAGATTAACAGAAATCTGCTTTCTCTGTCATGGTTTTAAATAGTCTTAGACTTAGGCCCAATCCCAATTCTATTTTATACCCCTTCCCCTACCCCTCCGCCTACCCCTTCCCCTTGTCCCTTGAAACAGAGTGTCAGGAAGTAGGGGTGAAAATATTCCCCTAAGAATTGGGACACCATGGAAGTGAAAAAGAAAAAGTCATTGTATAATTTACAGTGAAAAACCGTAAATTGACACTCCCAGAATTCCCTGCATATTTTATGTTTTTTGTTGAAATAACATGTTTCTTCTTAGTTGTTCTTATCAGTTGTGTAACCTAGGGTTTAATCTTAAATTTAATGTTGTTAAATTAATGTTTATTTCATTATTTCAGTATTGTGTGTCACCATGATGGGGTTTAGTGTTTGTGTGAATGACACTGTGCACCTTCTATATAAAAGTATTGTCCTCCTCAGCTCGTAGAAAAGCTTTTTTTGATGAGCTTTGGTTCATCGTGTGACTTTCTCATCACCACCAGTTTTTGGTGGTTATCAGTGCATTACAATGGTTCAAATCAGATATTAGTACTTAAATATTTTGGTTTATTAACATTACATCAGTTAATGAAATACGGTATTTTATTGTGAATTTAAGTTAAGTCTGTAAAACCTAAAATGTTGCTACCATATTTTTTACAGTAAAGTTCTGGCAACCACAGCTGCCGCTATTTTACCGTAAATGTCACTGATTTTTTTTTTACAGTGTAGAGCTACTTCAGGACTAAATTGAAGCTTAAATTAAACCTACTACATGTTTAAGGCAAGGCAGGTTTAACTTCAGATTAACGTTGTGTTTCCAGTCTTTATATATCAAAATTATTGGTAGATATGAACAAAGAAGCCTGGGAAAATTAACCTGCTCTGTTAATCATTTTGATCTACATGATTAAACTTATTGCTGACAACTGGGTAAAACTGTTTTTGAAGGGTAGTGGCAAAGATTGGTAAAGATTTACAATTAAATGAGACACATTCTGTATAGGGGGGTCTGAATGCAGTTGACCCCAATGACACAGTGTTGATTCATGGAGCCGTTTGGCATTCTAGTCCTCCTGCCCACGTGCGAAGCCCAGACAAACAAAAACAAGAGTGGGACGGTGAGAGCCAACGAGCCGTGCCAGAGAACAAACATGTGCTGGGCCTCCAGAGCGTGATCCAGACAGCTAAACTCCAGCAATCCATCAGCTCAACCTCCACGCTCCCTTTGTTTGTGTGTGGGTTAGACGTGTGGGAAGGTATCCCAGACTGCTTTATTATTTTTGGATACATAATTTGGATCAAAATAACACTGACAAAAACATGATAGCTGTAAAGATCCACAATATGGGTCAATGATGTGACAAATAAATGTTTTTTCTGTTAATTTATTCAAAACACAAAATGTGATTCAGACTAGTGGTCGACCGAAATATCGGCCGATATCTGGAATTTTTTAAATATCGGCATCAGCCGATAAGTCTTTCCGTGTGGCCGATGCTTTTCAAAACGGATTATGACACCATATTGTGCATTTATGCTTAGGACAAGCCACTCAGATGTGAAGCCAGCACCTGACGGACAGTAAAATTACCAAACGTCATTCACTTTCTAACGTGACATTGTAACGCTACATTGTGTTAGCACTCCGGCGTGCAACAAAGTCTTATCCAAACGTACCGTGAGACATCAGATCCGCAGCCCAGCGGCAGCTCTGGTTGGAGACACAGATGTGATATGAACGAATTCAAACAAAAATGAAACCGTGTTTACCTCACAAACAATCAAAAATCTCGCGACTGGCTCTTCCTCAGATATGTGCGTTGTTCTCGGCTACTTCTAAACAAGACACTGTTTTCCGTTGGACTCAAAAGCACTCCAGAATGAAAACTGGGTCGACACGAGAACTCTATGTTAAGTAATAATAATACGTTTAAATTCCTTTATGTGTTTATTCAGGAATATCCTCTGTATTTGATTGCCCATGATTGGCGTAATATCGCGTGTAGTATAACTTTTCATATGTTCCAGTCTTATTTAATGCTGCTATATACTGATAACCAAGCATGTAATTATACACCTTCAGGCTTGTATTATTTTACAATGAAACAGAAAAGCAAAAACTAAACAGATCAGAGACATATATCTGTATTATTAACCAACTATCCCATACTATAATTAAAACAACCTGTTGCTCGGTAAACTATGTATTGTACATGTTGTACATGGAATTACACATACTATTTTTGACATTAATTTATGAATATGAATTTGTTCATTAAATATTAATGTTAGAAAGGCTGCACTAAACCTTGTTCATTTAAGTGTTATGTCTGTTTTTTTACATGTTAATTATTTAGGTTATATATATATATTTATTTATTTATTTATTTTTGTAGATGTTTCAGCAAAAGAAAAGGAAAGGCTACACTAATTATTACCTCAATTGTTTACATTTTTTAAATTTAGGTTTTAATAAATATTTATGCATAATAAATGTTCATTTAGTTTCACCAATTTTCTGCATGTCTCTCATTTACTGTAATTACATGTATTATATCAGCCTCATATCGTCCAATCAGCCAGATTGATTTCTCAATATCGGCATCGGTATCGGCCCTTAAAAATCCCATATCGGTCAACCACTAATTCAGACATAAAGTACAATGACTTGAAAACACCTCTTCTGTTAAAAGAATTTTAGGTAACACTTTATTTTAAGGACCAATTCTCACTATTTACTGTAGCGTATTAGCATGCATATTACTAGCATATTGGCAGGTTTATTAGTACTTATAAAGCACATATTAATTCCTTATTCTACATGACCATATTTTAGATCCCTTGATCCACCCCATACCTAAACTTAACAGCTAATTTACTAACTATTAATAAGCATCAGATTAGGAGTTTATTGTGGGAAAACTCTTAGTTAATAGTGAATATGTGTTCCCTAATCTAAAGTGTTACCTTAAAAGAATTTAATTCTTGGGGGAAAAAAAGTTTTAAAAAAAACTTGCTTGAAGCGTGCTTCACTGCTTATTAATATTTGAAAAACCTTTGTCCACCAAATCAAAGTAGTGCAGCCAACATTCAGGAAATTACAGAAAACAAAACTATTAAACTATTAAAAACAGTTTCCATTTAATTAAATAAAATATACATATTAGATGAAAAGCATAAGCTTAAAAAACTTGCATTGACAGCTAAATGAAATAAGTTTAAACTGAAGTACTAAAATGACTAAAACTAAAAAATTTAAATATGAAAATAAAATAAGTTTTAAAAACAAAAACGAATACAAATGACAGAAGTGCATAACAAAATGGCTAAAACTAAAATGAAAATATAAAAATACAAGACAAGGTTAGTTCAGGCTGTCAATTTAATATGAGTATTTTTCTTATAAATTAAATTTTAATACTAAATTAAACTAATTTAAATTAGTTTGACGATTTTTTTTGTTTAGTTTTATTTTTTTACTTATTGTGAATGCTCTGTTATTGACCCATATAACAACATTTGAACAAACATTACTTGTCTTACACATTTAGTATATGCTGTGGGTGTTATGAATGATGTCTCAAATTGTGCAGCTTGTTGAGGAGAGGTGTGCGATTACTCACTATTTTTGCTTTGATACTGCTATTATATTTTTTGTGCAATTTGCCATTTTTTGCATGGAAGATGTTAATATAGATGAAAAATCCCATAGACTTAAACTGAAGGAAGCACCTGAGTCACAGACTCAGAAAGCAACCACCCAGATCTGCATGGAAACACTCTGGGAATCACCCACAACACCTTGGAATCAAATTTTGCATGTTCAAACACCATTCACATTTTCTTCAGCAATGTTATTCTAATTTGAATTTTCCTTACGAACAGCCCATCATTCACAAAATTATTCAGGTGCCAAACCGAAAAGCATCAGGCGTCACACAGGACACATGGTCTGCAGTCACAGTCTCTCTCATTTTCAATGAATGCTTTGATAAGGCATTTTACGGCATCAGTCTGTCCACTCCTTTATGAAGTGACACAGATTGGCTGTGACTATCAAAAGCGTCTGAATCACACAGCTGTCGTGAGTTTGCAGCTTAATGAGTCACATTCAGCAGACCGGTCGAAACGAGAAGCTGTTTGCCTCTTTATCAGAAAAACCTGGCCCATATATCAGCGGTGTGGCCCGGGACACGAGCACACAGAGAGGGGCAGTGTACGCCGGCTGCTGGAACGGCCGTCCACTCTCACAGAGGTGGTTTTGTGGGACAGAGAGGATGCTGGGTAAATTTACACTAAGGTCTTTTGTTAAGAGAGTCATACAGTAGGCCGATCAAACAGAAATTCAGGCGCTCTGTAGACCTTAGCAAGGAAGGTTTGACTTCTTAAAGGTCAACGGTAAAGAGTCTCAACGCTCACTTACTGCTGAGGTACGTCACAGGGTTGGGCGAAAGGGAAATTTTGAAACACCTCGTGACATTTACTTTGAGTCTAATAATCGACTTGTGTAATGGTATCAGATCTGTGTGATGTGCAATGTCAGTGCGTGCGTGTCTAAATCTGGAAAATTAGTGTTCATGTGACATCTTTGATTCACTCAAAGTTTGCTGCTCTCATTGATTTCTTTCCTTGTTTTAAGAAGGATAATGCAGAGGTTGATTGATATAAAT